GCTCTTCTCGGCGGCAGCCGCTGACTGGCGGTAGCTCCTAACTGGCGGAGCAGTGCTCCGGTGCGCTCCGGCAGGAACCGAGGCCTGGCTGTGAGAAGAAAATGGAGGAACAGAGAACCATGTTCTGAAATTTAAAAAAGAGAAATAACACAAAGACCATTAGAGTAACATATGCTATTCGTGCAAAGATGGATAACGTTATAGATTAGATAACAGGGTTCTTTCAATCATGAATTTGCTTTGGAATTGCATGAAGGAGAAAAAAAGTCTTCTTTGTTCTTAAGAGAATTTCTAGACGCTCAAGAATCCAATAGCTGCTTTGAAAAAATAATTACTAACAATGTCTTTTTCTTCTTTCTAGTAATTGTGGATTGTGAGCATACATTTTGTTCTCCAATGATCGGTGCTGCCATAAAAGACTGTGAAAACGCAACAACAATGTTTGAGAACTTTGAGCTTTTAGGATTCCCTTACCCCAAAGACCTGAAATTCCTGTTTGTCTTCTCCTTCCTCCTCATGTATACACTGTCCCTTTCTGGAAACATCTTGATTTTCTTAGTGGTGGCACTAGAACCTCATTTATACAAGCCAATGTACTGGTTTCTCTGTCACTTGTCCGTGATGGACATGATGGACTCCTGTGTTGTATTACCCAAATTAGTCACTTGGCTGACAGAAGGCCATCTCCTTTGCAGGCTGCGTAACCCAGCTTTTCTTCTTCCACTTCCCGGGATGCATGGAATGCTTCCTGTACACTGTGATGGCCTTTGACCACTTCATGGCTATCCGTAAACCACTACACTACAGCACTATCATGAACCACCGAGTTTGCTTCGACCTTGCAGTTGGCATCTGGTCTGGAGGGTCCTTGAATGGTATAATATATTCCTCCCTTACCTTCCACTAGCCATACGGCTGGAGAAACCAGGTGAACTACGTCTTATGTGACAACCCTGCTATGCTGACGTTGGCCTGTGCAGACACATCGATCAACGAGATGGTAACATTGATTGACATTGGGTTTGTAGCTATGGCCTGCTTCCTCTTGATTGCTGGATTGCTACTACCTAAATAAATAGTTAGTGTTCATGGATAGTATAGCCAGTAAAATCCAGGAGGCTTTTTTGTACCGACAGAGGATTGGCTTGCTCCCAAAATAAACACTTATTATGGAACCAGAAGTAAGTTTTCTAAAAGTTAAGTTTAAAATAACTATTTTCCATGTGGCTTCTTGTGGATTTTTATTGATTATGGTTTATTCCAGGATATTATGAAGGAAATTAAGAATTTACAATACTGAGCTGGATTAAGAGTGTTGGACTGGATGGGCCTTTGGCCTGACCCAACACTTATTATAGAACCAGAAATAAGTTTTCTAAAAGTTAAGTTTAAAATAACTATTTTCCATGTGGCTTCTTGTGGATTTTTATTGATTATGGTTTATTCCAGGATATTATGAAGGAAATTAAGAATTTACAATACTGAGCTGGATTAAGAGTGTTGGACTGGATGGGCCTTTGGCCTGACCCAACACTTATTATAGAACCAGAAATAAGTTTTCTAAAAGTTAAGTTTAAAATAACTATTTTCCATGTGGCTTCTTGTGGATTTTTATTGATTATGGTTTATTCCAGGATATTATGAAGGAAATTAAGAATTTACAATACTGAGCTGGATTAAGAGTGTTGGACTGGATGGGCCTTTGGCCTGACCCAACATTGTTCTTATGTTCTTATGACTTTACAGGCACTTGGGAAACCCTCCATTGCAGCTTGGAAGGACATGCTTGTGTTCTACCAAAGAGAAACAGTCTTTTTAATGAGGCCTTCTGGACCGTGTTATTAACTGAAAAAAAATGAAGCCTCTTGCGGAAAGATACTTGTGAACCCAGGGAGATGGAAGGAGTGGAGAGCAGAGGGGACAGGAAATGGGTATTCATGTGGGGCACAAAAGGTTATAAAGTTTAATGTAGAGAATATTAATCAGTAGCTGAGATGTTCAGTTTCCTTAGAAAAAGCAGTCTCCTTCTAGAACTGAGCTGTTATTCATATCAGAGGATTGTTTTTCTTGAGAACTGCCAGCTATTTCAGAAGA